CACTCTCTCGGTCACTCACTCTCCGGTCACTCTCTCGCTCACTCTCTCGGTCACTCACTCGGTCACTCTCTCGGTCACTCTCTCGGTCACTCTCTCGCTCACTCTCTCGGTCACTCTCTCGGTCACTCTCTCCGCTCACTCTCTCGGTCACTCACTCGGTCACCCTCTCTCGGTCACTCTCTCGCTCACTCTCTCGCTCACTCACTCGGTCACTCTCTCGGTCACTCTCTCGCTCACTCTCTCGGTCACTCACTCGGTCACTCTCTCGGTCACTCTCTCGGTCACTCTCTCGCTCACTCTCTCGGTCACTCACTCGGTCACTCTCTCGCTCGCTCTCTCGCTCACTCTCTCGGTCACTCTCTCGGTCACTCTCTCGCTCACTCTCTCGGTCACTCACTCGGTCACTCTCTCGGCACTCTCTCGCTCACTCTCTCGGCACTCTCTCGGTCACTCTCTCGCTCACTCTCTCGCTCACTCACTCGGTCACTCTCTCGGTCACTCTCTCGCTCACTCTCTCGGTCACTCACTCGGTCACTCTCTCGGTCACTCTCTCGGTCACTCTCTCGGTCACTCTCTCGGTCACTCACTCGGCTACTCTCTCGGTCACTCTCTCGCTCACTCTCTCGGTCACTCTCTCGGTAACGTCTGCTCGCTCACTCTCTCCGGTCACTCTCTCGGTCACTCACTCGGTCACTCTCTCGGTCACTCTCCGTCACTCTCGCGGTCACTCTCTCGGTCACTCTCTCGCTCACTCTCTCGCTCACTCTCTCGGTCACTCTCTCGCTCTCTCGCTCACTCTCTCGCTCACTCTCTCGCTCACTCTCTCGCTCACTCTCTCGCTCACTCACTCGGTCACTCTCTCGGTCACTCTCTCGGTCACTCTCTCGGTCACTCTCTCGGTCACTCTCTCGGTCACTCTCTCGGTCACTCTCTCGGTCACTCTCTCGGTCACTCTCTCGGTCACTCTCTCGGTCACTCACTCGGTCACTCTCTCGGTCACTTCTCGCTCACTCTCTCGGTCACTCTCTCGGTCACTCTCTCGGTCACTCTCTCGCTCACTCTCTCGGTCACTCACTCGGTCACTCTCTCGGTCACTCTCTCGCTCACTCTCTCGGTCACTCTCTCGGTCACTCTCTCGCTCACTCTCTCGCTCACTCTCGGTCACTCTCTCGCTCTCTCGCTCGCTCACTCTCTCGCTCACTCTCTCGCTCACTCTCTCGCTCACTCTCTCGCTCATCACTCGGTCACTCTCTCGGTCACTCTCTCGGTCACTCTCTCGCTCACTCTCTCGGTCACTCACTCGGTCACTCTCTCGGTCACTCTCTCGCTCGCTCTCTCGCTCACTCGCTCGCTCACTCCCTCGCTCACTCTCTCGCTCACTCTCTCGCTCACCTCTCTCGCTCAATCTCTCGGTCACTCTCCCGCTCACTCTCTCGGTCACTCTCTCGGTCACTCTCTCGGTCACTCTCTCGCTCTCTCGCGCGCTCTCTCGGTCACTCGCTCGCTCACCTCTCTCGCTCACTCACTCGGTCACTCTCTCGGTCACTCTCTCGGTCACTCTCTCGGTCACTCTCTCGGTCACTCTCTCGGTCACTCTCTCGGTCACTCTCTCGCTCACTCTCTCGCTCACTCTCTCGCTCACTCTCTCGCTCACTCTCTCGGTCACTCTCTCGCTCACTCTCTCGCTCACTCTCTCGCTCACTCTCTCGCTCACTCTCTCGGTCACTCGCTCGCTCACTCTCTCGCTCACTCACTCGGTCACTCGCTCGGTCACTCACTCGCTCACTCTCTCGCTCACTCTCTCGGTCACTCTCTCGCTCACTCTCTCGCTCTCTCGCTCGCTCTCTCGCTCACTCGCTCGCTCACTCTCTCGGTCACTCGCTCGGTCACTCTGTCGCTCACTCTCTCGGTCACTCTCTCGCTCACTCACTCGCTCACTCTCTCGCTCACTCTCTCGCTCACTCTCTCGCTCACTCTCTCGCTCACTCTGTCGCTCACTCTCTCGGTCACTCGCTCGGTCACTCACTCGCTCACTCTCTCGCTCACTCTCTCGGTCACTCTCTCGCTCACTCTCTCGCCCACTCTCTCGGTCACTCTCTCGCTCACTCTCTCGCCCACTCTCTCGGTCACTCTCTCGCTCACTCTCTCGCTCACTCTCTCGGTCACTCTCGCTCACTCTCTCGCTCACTCTCTCGCTCACTCTCTCGCTCACTCTGTCGCTCACTCTCTCGCTCACTCTCTCGCTCACTCTCTCGCTCACTCTCTCGGTCACTTTCTCGCTCACTCTCTCGGTCACTCTCTCGGTCACTCTCTCGGTCACTCTCTCGCTCACTCTCTCGCTCACTCTCTCGCTCACTCTCTCGCTCACTCTCTCGCTCACTCTCTCGCTCACTCTCTCGCTCACTCTCTCGCTCACTCGCTCGCTCACTCTCTCGCTCACTCTCTCGCTCACTCTCTTGCTCACTCTCTCGCTCACTCTCTCGCTCACTCTCTCGCTCACTCTCTTGCTCACTCTCTCGGTCACTCTCTCGCTCACTCTCTCGCTCACTCTCTCGGTCACTCTCTCGCCCACTCTCTCGGTCACTCTCTCGCTCACTCTGTCGCTCACTCTCTCAGTCACTCTCTCGCTCACTCTCTCGCTCACTCTGTCGCTCACTCTCTCGCTCACTCTGTCGCTCACTCTCTCGCTCACTCTGTCGCTCACTCTCTCGCTCACTCTGTCGCCCACTCTCTCGCTCACTCTGTCGCCCACTCTCTCGCTCACTCTCTCGCTCACTCTCTCGCTCACTCTCTCGCTCACTCTGTCGCTCACTCTCTCGCTCACTCTCTCGCTCACTCTCTCGCTCACTCTCTCGGTCACTCTCTCGATCACTCTCTCGGTCACTCTCTCGCTCACTCTCTCGCTCACTCTCTCGCTCACTCTCTCGCTCACTCTCTCGCTCACTCTCTCGCTCACTCTCTCGCTCACTCTCTCGCTCACTCTCTCGCTCACTCTCTCGCTCACTCTCTCGCTCACTCTCTCGCTCACTCTCTCGCTCACTCGCTCACTCTCTCACTCTCTCTCCCACTCACTCTGTGTGTGTGAGAGGAGTTGTCGTGGACCTGAGGACAGCCGATTGTGTTTTTGTTGGTGACTCTTCACAGCGGGGGGGGGTAGGGGGGGTTGAGAGGGGAAGGCCACGGGAAAGTGCTGAGATTGTGAAACTTAGATCATTTGAGGGGGGCTGGGGGGTGGTGGGAATGGGGGGGGGCTGGGTGGTAGCGCAGTGGACCACGGATCGCGTCTCACAACGAGGGGGGACCCGGTTGGATCCCAAACTCGGTCGCCACGTGCGGGAGCTGGGGGTGACTTTGTCATTCATCCCCTTTTCTGGGGGTTTGTGAATGATTGTGTTTGTGTGTGTGTGTATATGTGTTTGTGTATGTGTGTGTGTGTATGTTTGTGTGTGTGTGTTTGTGTGTATGTGTGTGTGTGGGTGTATGTGTGGGTGTGTTTGTGTATGTGTGTGTATGTGTGTGTATGTGTGTATGTGTGTGTGTATGTGTGTGTGTATGTGTGGGCAAAGTCCCATCAGTGAGCTCCTCCGGCAGGCAAGGCTGCGTTGGCTGGGTCATGTAGCCCGCATGCCCAGCCACCGCATGCCTAAACAGCTTTTGTTCGGC